CCAACCCCCCCCCCCCCCCCCCCCCCCCCCCCCCTCTCCGCCCCTCCTTGCCATGCGCTCATGAGGCATGCGCCCTCCCATCCCTCCCTCACTTCCTCTTATTCACTGATTCCAGCAGCAGTCGCCAGTCTCCCGGCCGCGCCAGCAAGCCATCGTCACAGCGCCACCCGTTCGCTCTCAGCGCCTCACACAACCCATCAAACCCTCCCGCCATGCGGCCAAAGGAAGCATGCAGCATCTCTAGCTTCTCGAAAGAGGCTAACTCGGCTGCAGTTGCACTTGCACCCCTCATTTCCTCTTCTCCTCAGGTGCCAGCTGCAGCCACCAATCGCCCACCGGCCGGGCCACCATACGAAGAATGCAATACCTCTATCTGATTTCCCCAAGAATGCAAAGGCTGCTGCACTTGCACCCCTCACTTCCTCTTCTCCTCAGGTGCCAGCAGCAGCCACCAATCGCCTCCCTCATTTCGAAGTATTACCGTTAGCTTGGAAGATGGTTGACTGAGGCAGTTCAGAGGCGAGAGGTTTGTCCTCTTGTGGATTTTCAGCTTTTTCGTCCAATAGAATTCAAGTTAATCACATGCCATTTTTGTCCCCCTAATGTTCCTAAGAAGTTGCACCCTGCCTTTAAAGGCACAAGTGAGGGATTTTTGGGAGCTGGGGGTGCAATTTTCAGGTGGGGCAGTGCAAGTGAATCCAGCAGAGGCGAATTCGGCTTCACTTGCACCCCTCATTTCCTCTTCTCCTCAGGTGCCAGCAGCAGTCGCCAGTCTCCTGGCCGAGCCAACAAGCCATCGTCACAGCGCCACCCATTCGCTCTCAGCGCCTCACACAACCCATCAAACCCCGCAGCCATGCGGTCATACGAAGCATGCAGCACCTCTAGCTTCCCCAAGGAAGCGAATTCGGCTGCGCGGGCTTGGACGTGGGTGCGCGCTTGGGGTGCGAGAGAGTGGATGGTGGGGCAGAGGACGTGTGGAGAGAGGGTGCGGAGGTAGGCGGCTTGCAGGGCCGCTCTGAGGAAATCCCTGGGAGTGCCCCCTCCTTCAACACTACCTGCATGGATGGTGGTTGCAGGGTGAGAAGGCATGGGGATGAGAGGAGAAGGAATAGATGTGAGGGGAAGAGGAGAGCATGCAGCACCTTGATCTGCTTCCCAAGGAGGAAAACTCGGCGGCGCGCGGGCTTGGACGTGGGTGCGCGCTTGGGGGGCGAGGGAATGAATGGTGGGGCAGAGGACGTGTGGAGATAGAGTGCGGAGGTAGGCGGCTTGCAGGGCCGCTCTGAGGAAGTCCCGAGGGACTGCTCCTTCCTTCAACACTACCTGCATGGATGGTGGGTAGAAAGAGTGGATGGTGGGGCAGAGGACGTGTGGAGAGAGCGTGCGGAGGTAGGCGGCTAGTAGGGCCGCTCAGAGGAAGTCCTTTGGGAGGGCCCCCTCCTTCAACACTACGTGCAAGAAGAATGGTGAGTGGTTGATAGGGGTGAGAAGGCAAGAGGTGTGGAGAGAGAGTGCGGAGGTAGGCGCCTTGCAGGGCCGCGCTCGGAAGAAATCCCAAGGAAGAGCTCCTTCTTTCAACACAACCTGCATGGTGAGTGCGTGGGGTGAGGAGGAATGGCGGTGTAACGAGGAGATCATTTAGTGGCAGGTGGATTGGAGGGCAGCCCGGAGGAAATTCCGAGGGAAAGCTCCTTCTTTCAACACAACCTGCATGGTGAGTGCGTGGGGTGAGGAGGCATGGCGTGGAACGAGGAGATCATTTAGTGGCAGGTGGATTGGAGGGCAGCCCGGAGGAAATCCCAAGGGAAAGCTCCTTCTTTCAACAGAACCTGGATGGTGAGTGCGTGGGGTGAGGAGGCATGGCGATGGAACGAGGAGATCAATCTAGCGGCAGGCAGGTGGATTGGAGGGCAGCCCGGAGGAAGTCCCGAGGGAGAGCTCCTTCTTTCAACAGAACCTGGATGGTGGGTGACAGATAGGGGTGGGTGGGAAAGCAAGAGGTGAGAATCTAGATGCAGACAGCTTGCAGTGGGCAGAAAGAGTGGATGGTGGGGCAGAGGGGGTGTGGGGCGAGCGTGCAGAGGTAGGCGGCTTGTAAGGCCGTTGTCACTCATGGTTGGAAGGGCAGCAGCACTAAGAGAAAGTGAGGCGCCTCAAAAAAAGTGGGGCAAGCGTGCAGAGGTAGGCGGCTTGTAAGGCCGCTCGGAGGAAGTCCCGAGGTAGAGCCTCCTCTTTCAACACAGCCTGGTGAGTGACAGGGGTGAGAATGCATGGAGGTAAGAGGAGAAGGAATGGATGTGAGAGGAAGAGGAGAGGTAGTCTGCTTGGAGCGCCGCACAGAGGAAGTCCCGAAGTAGATCCCTCTTCTAGCTCAACTTGCATGGTGCTCTTTCAAGAGAGGGATCTCTTTCGAGACTTCCTCCGTGCGGCGGCGTGACACCCTAACACAACCTGCATGGTGAGTGTCAGGGGTGGAAGGGACGGGATTGAGACGAGGAGGCACACATGCGGAGGTGGCCGGATTTGTAAGGCCGCCCGGAGGAGGTCCCTAGACAGATCCCTCTTTCAACACAACCTGCAGGCCCCCACACATTCCCGTTTCTCCCACCCACCCACGCACACAGATGCACACAGCATGAACCTGCATCTGCCCTGTACGCTCGTCCTGTCAAAGGAGGTACTTCTCTCCTCGGCATATCCCATCCCAGCCACCGCCTCTGCCTCCTCCCACTGCACATCACAGCACAGCACACCTGTGTGCCTCACTCCCATCTCAAAACACAAGCATGCGCAGCAGCACACGCACCTGCATCTGCCCCGTACGCTCGTCCCTCCCAAGCAGGTACTTCTCTCCTCGGAATATATCAGCCATGGTCTCAGCCTCCCGCTCTGTGTGCGCCACTGCGGCCAAGGGCACCCCAAATTCGATCCAGTTCTCACTCCCTGTGCCGGGAAGGGGTGGAGGAGACGCCTGGGAAAGGGGACGCGGAGAAGGGGCGGGGGAGGGGAACGGGTGGAGAGGGGGGAATGAGGGGGTTGAGAGGTCTCTTTTTGCGCCACTGCTGCCAAGGGCACTCCGAACTCGATCCAGTTCTCACTGCCTGTGCCTGGACGAGGAGGGGGAGAGGCCTGGAAAGGGGAGGAGGGGAGGGGGTTCGGGTGGAATGGGAGTAAGGGAGTGTTGAGACGTCTGTCTGTGTGAGCCACTGCTGCCTACTTGCCAAGGGCACTCCGAACTCAATCCAGTTCTCGCTACCTGTGCCGGGGAGAGGTGGAGGGGACGCCTGTGAAGAGAGAAAGGGGAGAAGGAGGGATGAGATCTCTCTGTGTGAGTGAGGCACTGCAGCTAAGTGGCACTTGTAACGCACATGCAATGCACATGCACCATACATACATGCACCACACATACATCACACATGCACCACACCAGAGATACCTTGGGCGAAAATATCGATTTGAGGGGCGGCAGAATGGGTTCCTGGGAGTTGACTTCGATGACACCTGGCACCCTGCCATTGGTCACGTACTCTGCCAGGACAATATCTGGGGAAAGAACAGTGGTAGAAGAGAGCACAGGGGAAGCAGAGAGGACAGCGCAGCGGAGCAAGCTACTTAGACAGAAACAGGTGAAGGAGGGAACTAATTGAGTTGTGCTTACAGCGACCGTCGTGCCTTACAGCTCAAAGACACGACGGTCGCTGCTCTGGCGAATGTTTTGGGGCGCCTCAAACTTTTTGAGATGATTTTTTAGGCGCCTAAAAAACAATTGTGGTTACAGCTCAAAGACATGACATGACAATAGCTGCTCTGGAAGTAACTATCTGCTTCTGAATCCACTGGATTGAATGCTTGTGAGGCTTCCTGCAAGCAAGTACTTATTTTACCTGCTCTGAAGGGGTTGAGCGTCCTGAGTTGAACGGCCTTGTACGAGCGGTAGTTGCAAAACAGGTGGGCGGCGGACAGCAGGCCATGAGTTGCCCACAGTAGAGGGCCCCGGGTGCCCACGTGAGGAGCAACGACGATGCCTAGTGCCATCCCCAATGTCTTGCTCACCATGCCCTGTGCCTCTGCGCGTGCTAGCACCTGAGGGGAGAGGAAGAGGAGGAACAGTCAGAGAAAACACACAAATGGTTGGGTTCGGACAGCAGGGCGTGTGTTGCCCAGAGTAGAGGACCCCTCGTGCCCACGTGAGGAGCAATGGCGATACCCAGGGCCATGCCCAATGTCTTGCTCACCATGCCCTGTGCCTCTGCACGTGCTAGCACCTGTGGGGAGAGGAAGGGGAGGAGCAGAAAGTGAAGTACAATCACATGGGTGGGCCGGACAGCAGGGCATGCGTGGATCAGCCACAGCAGATGACCCCTGGTGCCTACGTGAGGAGCAATGGCGATGCCTAGAGCCATCCCCAATGTCTTGCTCACCATGCCTTGTGCCTCTGCCCGCGCCAAGACCTGGGGGGAGATGAAAAGGAGGAACAGTCAGAGAAAGCACACGAAAGGTTCGGTTCGGACAGCACGGCATGCGTCGCACACAGCAGAGGGCCCCGGGTGCCCACGTGTGGAGCGATGGCGATACCCAGGGCCATCCCCAATGTCTTGCTCACCATGCCCTGTGCCTCTGCACGTGCTAGCACCTGTGGGAGAGGAAGGCAGGGTGGAGTGGAAGGGAGAACACGGGGAGCGTAATGAGAGGAGCACAGCACCGGGCCTATTGTGCCCATGTGTGGGGCGATGGCGAGGCCTCATGCCATTCCAATTATCTTGCCCTGTCTTTGAGGCGCCTCAAAAGTAATGACGCCTACTGCCATCTCCAATGTCTTGCTCGATGCTCACCATGCCCTGTGCGGCTGTGCTTCTGCGCACACACACCAACACTCGGGGTGGTTGGGTTGGGGAAGAAGAAGGGGGATGAAAGGCTGACGAGTTAAGACATGTGACTCGTGAACCTGAAAACCATAAGAGCCGCTTACTTCCATTCCCAGCACACGCCTATAAAAGCACCGATATAAATGTTAGGCCTTTTTTGAAGGCTTTCTGCAATTTGAACCCATACAACCCCAGCCAGGATTATAGAAGGTAAGGAAGTCCAAGGAGGGAGCATATCCCCCCTCCTGGCCCCATTGGCTCCCAAGACAGCGTTGAATCTCACCTCGGCAAAGTTTCTTCTGCCTGCCAGCCCGGCGTAAAACCGGTTTCTCGTGGCACTCTGCACGAGGCTCGAGGCAGAGAACCCCGCCCCGGCAGCGGCGGCCAGCTGAACGAAGTACTGCGGGAAGGTGGCCGTGAGGAGCTCGAGGGAAGCGGAGAGATTCTCAACGAGGTCGGAGTGAGGGAATGTCCCTCACAGGCCCTCTCACCTGCCCACATCGGCAATCTCACTTGCTCGCATCGGCACTCTCACCTGCCCGACCTAAGGTGCTGCCTTACCTCGGCGAAATTTCTTCTGCCTGCCAGCCCGGCGTAAAACCGGTTTCTCGTGGCACTCTGCACGAGGCTGGAAGCAGAGAACCCTGCCCCGGCTGCAGCGGCCAGCTGGACGAAGTACTGCGGGAAGGTGGCTGTGAGGAGCTCGAGGGAGGCGGAGAGGTTCTCAACGAGGTCGGAGAGCAGGCGCGAGCGCTTGGGGGAGACGTCGAAATGGCGGCCGAACTGGGAGAGCGTGACTTTTGCAGCGTAGCCCAGCCCGTCTTTTAGGACCCAGTTGACCGCGGCTGCTGCTGGGATGGCGCCCTTGCCCAGCCCCACTGCGTACAGCATTGCCTGGAGAGGCGAGGAGGGAAGAGAAAGTGGGAAGAGAGGGAGGAGAGACGAATGGTTCCAGGTTGAACTGGGAGAGCGTGACTTTGGATTCTTTCAGCACCCAGTTGACCGCGGCTGCTGCTGGGATGGCGCCTTTTCCCAGCCCCACCGCGTACAGCATTGCCTGCAGGAGGGAGAGAGGGAAGAGAGGGAGGGAAGCGAGAGAGAGAGGGAAGAGAGAAAGGGAGGCGAGAGAGAGAGGGAAGAGAGGGAGGGAAGCGAGAGAGGGAAGAGAGAAAGGAAGGGAGAGAGGGAAGAGAGGGAGGGAAGCGAGAGAGGGAAGAGAGAAAGAGAGAGAGAGAGAGGGAAGAGAGGGAGAGAGGGAAGAGAGGGAGGGAAGCGAGAGAGGGAAGAGAGAAAGGGAGGGAGAGAGGGAAGAGAGGGAGGGAAGCGAGAGAGGGAAGAGAGAGGGAAGAGAGGGAGGGAAGCGAGAGAGGGAAGAGAGAAAGGGAGGGAGAGAGGGAAGAGAGGGAGGGAAGCGAGAGAGGGAAGAGAGAAAGGGAGGGAGGGAGAGAGGGAAGAGAGGGGGAAAGAGAGGGAGAGAGTGTGGTTGTGTGACGTGACTGTGACTGATCCCGTGTCCTACCAGGATAAAGAATGCAGTCGGGCTCCAGGGTGGGCGGCAAGGGCGGCAGCAGCTAGGAAGGAGGAGAAATACGCGCGACGGAACGCGTGGGTGGGCTTCCACGCCCTTGCAGTCGAGACATACGGCTGTCCTTCCCCGGGGGTGATGGCTTACCTGCGGCAGTGCGCGGAGCTAGCGGCCAAGCTGCGATACAACTCAGCACCTACCTCATACGAGGCAGCCAAGCTGCTGACGGAGTACCGCCAGCACTGGAGTGTCTGCCTCCAGGGAGCGCAGGCCAATGCCCTCCGCTCCAAGACCAACGAGGCCTTGGCAGCGGACGAGCTCGGCATGCAGGGCCCCATCGTCCCTCTTAGCGAGGGACAGCTGCACCAGCTGATTGAGCCCCCATTCGGCCAGTAGGGTCGGACAGAGGGGGCCGGGAGTGGGAAGGAGTAGGTGTGATAGGTAGAATTGTGGTCTGGTTGTTTGTCTTGCTTGTGTTTGTACCTTCCTTGTAACACCCACCGTGATTAATGCAAGGACCGTTCGAGGGGGAAGGGATGCAACATGTTGAACTGGGAGGGCGTGACCTCGGCTGCATAGCCCAGCCCGTCCTTTACCACGAAGGACCGTTTGAGAGAAGAGAGAGAAGAAAGGCTTCAGGTGAGGAAAAGGACGGAGAGAGGAGGGCAGGGGAGAGAAAGGTTCTTAGACATAGCAAACAGACCTCAATTGAAGGAGCCTGCGACATAGAAACGCGTCTCACCTGCGTTGTAAGCACGTGGTTCATTTCGCTCGCCACTGTTTGCCGCATGCGCCACACTGTGTACTCCATATAGTCAGGAGTCACACTATCGGGATAACCCTCTGGTAACATCCATCTCACCACCGCCGCTTTCACTCCCCTCACCACCCGCGCAACCATATCCCCCCTCTGCTCCGCTCATCCTCCTCCCCCGCTAAAACCCTACCCCCTGCGGCCTTCCCATTGCCATTCCCCGTGCTTGTAACGATCCCCTTTACAACGCGTCCGTGTTCCTCCTCGTACGCGTTAGCAGCTTCCTCGCCTTCCAATTCAACTTCCACCCTTAGCTGGCCCTTCCCCCTATTGCTGCTTGCGCTGCTGCTGCTGCTACTGTCTCCGCCAATCAGGCGCCGCCACCTGTCACCGTGGAGCTCCCATATCACATCCTGGTCGGCCGCGGGCGCGCCGGTTGCAGGGGGAGGCGCAGGGCGGCGGAGAAGCGCGGATTCCGCGCGCGCTAGCGGGGAGACGAGCAGCGGAAGCATGATAAGCAGAAATGCGGAGAGTGATAATGCGCTCGGAAACGTGATTAGGCGGTTGTGGAATAGAGGAGAGAGGGCGTCGAGACGGGAGTTGGACCAATCAGAAAACAGCTTCAATAGGAACAAGTAACCATGTTCCTGCTGGTTACCACCTTGCCCTCCGCAACCTCCGTCGTTTCCATTATCCTCTCCTCCGCCTCCCCCTCCGCCTCCATCTCCCCCTCTTCCGCCGCCGCCCCCTCTCCCCCTTCCGTCATTACCCCCGCTTCCCCCCCGCCCGTCTCCGCTCCGCCATGCCAAGGCGTGCGCTTTGACCCGCGCGCCAGGAGCAGCGGATCGCGTTGCCTCCGCCAGTCGCAACTTCCCCGCAATTGACGGTCTTGCTGCTAGCCTTCCGTCTTGAGGCCCCGCAAAACCCGATGGTAACCTCGCGGTGACGACTCGAAATGGTCGACCAGCTGCTGGTCTTCTCCCTGTCCCCGCTATCGAGTCAATTTCGGCAGTTCGATACGCGCATTTGACAGGTGAGTACATTGTGCCGCTCCCGCGAATCGCCTTACCCTGAAAGGCGCCAAAGCGACGCGTTTCGTGCCCGTCATTCCCAAGGGCCGGAGCGCACGGCAGATGGCAGCACGATCGCATTGCAGCTGCCATTGCAGCACATTCAAACGGTAAACACACACCCACCCACACACGCTCTCGCGTTACAGCAGCGCAGGCTTAGCAAATCGCGTCGCGTGTCTGGCCAATGGACGAGCAATTCACTGCTAGAAGTTCTACCCTACTCTTGCACACTGCAATGTGATGAATGGATATGATGTGACGTGGCAAAAAGTACATTTTGAGATCAAGCAGGAATGGCCCTTGTGCGGGTGAAAGGGTAAGCACGGAGAGCTCTGCGTTTGTATTGACTCGATTACAGGTACAGAAGAAACAAAGCACCACGTTTACTTTCTGTACTAACAGCTCTATGCAAAGACACAATATTTTAAAGAAGATGACAGAATCAACCACTTGGTCTCTGATGCAATGAAATTCCAGGGGTCTGAAAGGAAGCATTACAAAATGTAGTCTCATCTCATCTCAACTGCCTCCACCTGTCATTACTTTTAGCCCAGCCCACGCGATCCCCTGCCATGCCACATGATTTTTCCAACTGGTCTTGATTTGGTGCAACACAAAGACATTTGTTGGAAACAACTAACTTAAGCGCCTCTGTCGTGTTGAAACACCAAGACCCAAGCGAAGCAAAACACTATCGAAGCAAAACATTATCGAAGCACCAGCGAGTCAACCCTCAGAGGTTGAACAACTGTCGGAGGCTACGCGAAAGTCAAAGGTCAGCGACCTTTGACCTGACAAGTACAGCGCCGGGCAGCAAGGACACACGACTCAACTCGTTACAGAGCAGTTGCCCGAGTCGTCACTGTATCGAACCGCAACAGCAACAGTAAAGTAGTTATAACTGTGTCTTTTCATATTCCCTGTATTCATATATAATCTTGTATCTCTTTGCTTTAATCAATCAACTTTTGCCCTCATATACTAGCGCAAGGTGGTTCACACTCTTCATTAAACGCTTCCGCTACTACATCAGTTCTACCCAGAGTTCACCCGTGCAAAGATCCTAAGGGCTATTTTCTCAGCCCAACATGGTATGGAGAGCTATCAGGGGGAATTCAACTATCAAGACACCTACAACATCAGAAAACATGACTACTCAGAAGGAAAGGAGTTCCTCTATTGGTTCTCCCGGCACTACTCCTACTCCACCTCCTGCCTCTGGCCTACAGACAGAGGAGGGTACGGCAACAAGACCCAGGGCAACATCCACCGAGACTCCCGCGAATCAACCTGCAGGCTTCGACCAGAGCATGATGGAGAAGTTTTTCTCCTTCATGTCCTTCTACGAGCAACACCAGCAATCGGCACCTGTGCAGTCACACAACAGCAACAACAACGACGACGTGACTCCAATGAGCCTTGATGGTTCATCCTACGCACGTGGAAATCAACAGCAGCAACCTACATTTGCTCCGTACGAGCCCCACCGCGGCTCCGTCAGTTTTATGCCACAACCGCAGCCTGCACCTGGACAAGAGAAGACACTGGACGCGCTACAAGTTCAGTCACAGTTCGCGCACGTTTTGAAGTTGCAGAAGTCAAGACCTTTCGACGGAAAGGACTTCTTTATCTGGTCATTCGAGTTCGAGCTGATGATGGAAGGCGCGCAAATCCTCGGCTTCTTCAACGGATCCCTGCCATACCCAACAAACGGCACACAGTACGAGAAGCAGCAGTACACCTATCAGTCAATGATGGCGTACACAATCCTACCGAGAATATCACCCCGACTCGGCAACAGAATATACGGTCTTACCGGGGATACGGCAACTCCGCAGAACTCGCATACAGCCACTTGAAAAGCCTGTACCAAGCAACAGACAGCGTAAGTCAGAGTCGACTAATGGCGCAAACTGACAACAGTCAAAATGAAACCAGGGGAAAAGGGGATGGCGTATATCAGTCGCTATCGCGAATTGCGCGACAAACTTCTTTGATGCGGAGGGTCGATATCTGAAGACGCCTCCGTGACAGTCATCATTGGCGGCCTCGGTCCTCAATGGCGTGCCACAAAGCCATTCTCTGAGCTCACGGATGAATCTCCGAAGCAGCACTTTGCTCCGAAATTCATGCCGAGCAGCAAGACATGGACCTGCAAGAAGAAAGGCACAAAAGGAAGACGTCAGTGTCAAATCATGATGTTCTGTAGGCTGTAGTGGGGTAGCCCATATGGGGTACATATTTCTAGGGTTGCATATTTGTACCACATTCCATTCCTTAGTGTCCCATTCTCGTTTCAGTTTTCTCATGGTATCGAGCAGGTTCCCTCCTGGGAACTGTGCCTAGGGCCCACCAAGTCGAAAGTTTTTTTTTCCAGCCCGGAGCGCGCTCAGCCCGAGTCGCGCTCCCGTCTCTGACTTCGTCGAGACGCCCTAGCGGCCAAGTCGCGCCGCCTTAGCGGCCCCTGATTCGTCGCCCTAGCGACCCCGTCGCCCTACCTACGGCCCCGGCCCCGTCGCCCTACCTGCGCCTCGGCCCCGTCGCCCTACCTGCGCCCCGGCCCCCGTCGCCCTAACTGCGACCCTGGCCCATCGCCATACCTGCGGCCCGACCCTAGCCCCGTCGCCCTACCTGCGCCCCAGCCCCGGCCCCGTCGCCCTGCTTGCGACCCCGGCCCCGTCGCCCCACCTCCGACCCCGGCCCCGTCGCCCTACCTGCGCCCTGGCCTCGGCCCCGTCGCCCTACCTGCGCCCCGGCCCCGGCCCCGTCGCCCTACCTGCGTACCGGCCCCGTCGCCCTACCTTCGACCCGGCCCCGTCGCCCTACCTACGGCCCCGCCCCGCCGCCCTACCTGCGGCCCAACCACCCTACCTGCGGCCCCGCCGCCCTACCTGCGGCCCAGCCGCCCTACCTGCGGCCCAGCCGCCCTACCTGCGGCCCAGCCGCCCTACCTGCGGCCCCGCCGCCCTCACCCGCGGTCCCGCCGCCCTTACCTGCGGCCCCCGCCGCCCTTACTTGCGGTCCCCGCCGCCCTCACTTGCGGCCCCGCCGCCTTCCCTGCGGCCTCGTCATCTACTGCAGCGCCTCCCGCCACCCGAGCCGCCCGAGCCGCCTCACCTAGCCGAGCAGCCGACCGCCGCACCGCCGTACAGCAGCACAGCCGCGCCGCCCAGCAGCTGAGCAACCAGACACCCGAGCAGCCGAGCCGCCCTGCAGCCGAGCCGCCCAGCAGCCGAGCAGCCGAGCCGCCCTGCAGCCGAGCCGCCCAGCAGCCGAGCCGCCCTGCAGCCGAGCCACCGTGCAGCCGAGCCACCGAGCCTCCGAGCCGCCCGAGCAGCCCCGTCCGGTAAGCACACCGACTCTGTCACTGCACTGCCCTTTCCCTACTGTGTGCGCTGCTAGTCTACTGTTGTCATGGCTACCCCTAGTGTCCTCGCTTTTGACGCCGAGGGTCGAGCCATTGACTTTGACGTCTGGGTAGATGACCTGCAGCTGTTCTTACAGTGCGATAGGGCAGACGGTCTCTCCCTCTTTGACCTCACCTCTGGTGCCTCTCCTGCTCCTGCTGCTGATGCTGACGCCACTGTTCGCTCACAGTGGGCCACGCCCGATGCTGCTGCACGTCTTGCTGTGCGTCGCCACCTCCCTACCTCTGAGCGTGCGCACTTTAGTCAGTACAAGAGTGCTCAGACCTTGTACGACGCTGTAGTTGCACGCTACTCCTCCCCTGCCACTGCTGCACTGAGCCGTCTCATGCTACCGTACCTCTTCCGTGACCTTGCTGCCTTTCCCACAGTCGCTGACCTCATCACGCACCTCCGCACTAGTGACACTCGCTACCGCGCTGCGCTTCCTGCTGACTTCTGTGCCAAGAACCCCCCCCCCCATGTACATCACTCTCTACTACGTACTCACTCGCCTCCCTGACTCTCTTCGCGTAGTCAGGGACCACTTCCTCTCAGTCTGTCCCACCACTCTCACTGTTGACCTCCTCGAGAAGTCCCTCCTAGCGGCCGAGAAGAGCATAGTCGCTGTATGGGGCCTCTTGTGGTGACCCGCGCACCCCCATCTTTGAGGGGTGTTCCCCCTCCCCCCTTCTGCCCTCTGCTGCCTCTGCTGCTGCGGCCGACCTCCTTGGTCTTGAGTCAGTCGGTGCGGCGTCTGCCCCTAGCGGGAGACGCCGCTCTGGCAAAGGCAAGGGGGGCAGGGGCACTGGAGGAGCGAGCGGGGACGGTGGAGGTGGAGGTGGAGGCGGCGGGGGGAGTGGGGGTGGCCGTGGGAGTGGAGGTGGGGGTGGAGGTGTCGGTGGCGGCAGTGGAGGCGGAGGCGGCGGCGGCGGTGGCGGTGGGAGCGGAGGTGGCGGAGGTGGCGGCGGTGGAGGAGGCGGCGGAGGCGGCGGTAGTAGCGGAGGCGGCGGAGGCGGCGGAGGCGGTGGGGGTGGCGGTGGAGCTGGTCGCGGGTCTACGCAGAGGAGTGGCTACGGTGGTGGTCCGCGCCATAGCAGCAGCGCGGGTAGTGAGACCCTGTCCCCTCAGCAGCTCCGTGAGTGGTACACTACACGCCAGAGGGGTGGGGGCTTTGGTCCGTGCACCTACGTCCTGCGCACCGGCGACCGTGCGGGTGAGCAGTGTGGGGGTGCGCACCCCACCCAGCGCTGCTTTGGCCGCCTGACGGACGCGTGGCGTCACCAGTTACCGGAGGCCACAGAGATCCCTCGCTGGGGCGAGCTGTCTAGGGCGGGAGTTGCCATCTATGATCTTCATTTTGATGCTATCCTTTCTGCCATGTATGCAGTGTCTATTAGTGATGAGGGTGACTGTTACCGGTGTCTCCCGCCTGACCCGGGCATTGAGACTGCTGCTCTAGGTACTGGTGAGGCTGCTGCTCTAGGTGCCAGTGAGGCTGCTGCTCTAGGTGCCAGTGCGTATGCGTCCTCAGGTGCTGTTGAGTCTGCGCTCGCAGGTACCGCGTCGGCTTCGGCCTCCCTCACCTTCACACTTGACTCAAAGACTTCTCGCTCCTTCTTTCGAGACCGCACCACACTCACGCCGCTTGGTCGGCCGGTTGCAGTCTCCCTGGCAGACCCCTCTGGGGGTCTTGTCCTTTCTCACTTCTCCACTGTCCTCCCGTGTCCGGCGGCCCCCCTCTGGCACCTAGTCTGGTCTTTACCTCCCTTCGTTCTCTACGAACTTGGTGAGTGGTGTTGACCTACAGGATGCGGGGGTTCACCAGTTTACTCCTGCGAGTCAGCGGGTGACCCACTGCTCGGACGCTCGCACGGGCCGGCACCTGGCCACGTTTACGCGTCCGCCGGGGTCGAGCCTGTACACCCTGACCACTGAGTCTCCTCCTGTCCCTGCGTCTGGTCAGGTAGCTGCGTCGGGTCAGGTGTTTGCTGCAGCGTCCAGGTCTGGTCCTGAGTCTGCCCCCTGCTCGTGTCGCCTCCTGTCTCACGAGACTCTTCTCTGGCACCACCGCCTTGGTCACCCCTCCCTGCCTCGTCTCCGAGGCATGGCCTCCCGTGTCCTTGTCTCTGGTCTTCCCCGGTCCCTCCCTCCCCTTCCTCCGGGGCCTGGCCCCACCTGCGTCCCCTGTGTCGAGGGGCGGCTGCGGGCTGCCCCTCACTTCTCTCAGTTTCCCCCGAAAGAGGCCCCGCTGCAGACGCTTCACATGGACGTGTGGGGCCCGGCCCGCGTCCGTGGACAGGGTCACGAGCGCTACTTCCTGCTGGTGGTTGACGACTACTCGCGTTACACCACAGTCTTCCCCTTGCGCAGCAAGGGTGATGTCACTGAGGTGTTGATCGACTGGATCTGCGCAGCTCGTCTCCAGCTCAGGAGGAGCTTCGGCTCGGACTTTCCTGTTCTGCGTCTGCACTCTGACCGAGGCGGAGAGTTCTCCTCTGGCCTTCTGCGAGCCTACTGTCGTGCGCGAGGCATCCGCCAGACCTTTACGCTTCCGGACTCTCCACAGCAAAATGGGATTGCTGAGCGCCGCATTGGCATGGTCATGGACGTCGCCCGTACGTCCATGATGCATGCGGCTGCCCCCCATTTTCTGTGGCCATTTGCGGTTCGGTACGCGGCGCATCAGATCAACCTTCACCTCAGGGTCTCCATGCCGGAGACCTCCCAGCTTTGCTGTGGACGGGGAAGGTAGGCGATGCTTCTGCGTTCCGTGTCTGGGGATCTCGGGCGTTTGTCCGCGACTTGTCTGCGGACAAGCTGTCCCCTCGTGCTACTCCTTGCGTCTTCCTGGGCTTCCCCCCTGACGCGCCAGGGTGACAGTTCTACCACCCCACCTCTCGTCGTGTTCTGTCCTCCCAGGACGTCACGTTTGACGAGTCGGTCCCCTACTACCGCCTCTTCCCCTACCGCACTCCGTCCCTCCCCCCGCCACCGCTCTTCCTTGTGCCAGGTCCCCCCCCAGTAGACCCCCTCCCCCCTTAGGGTCCTGCCCCTTCAGGTGTGTCCCAGGTAGACGCAGTCGAGCTTGTCGAGGTTACTGGTGACTCTGGTGCTGCTGAGGGTGCTGAGCCTGGGGGTGCTGACTCTGGGGGTGCTGAGCGTGTGGGTGCTACGCCTGGGGGTGCTGAGCCTGAGGGTGCTACTACTGGGGGTGCTGAGTCTGGGGGTGCTGAGCCTGGGGGTGCTACGCCTGGGGGTGCTGAGCCTGGGGGTGTTGAGCCTGGGGGGTGCTATGCCTGGAGGTACTCAGCCTGGGGGTGCGTAGCCTGAGGGAGCTGGGCCTGCTGGTGCTGTGCCTGGCGGTTCTCCGGGTGCTTCGTGTTGCCGGGAGCCACCCTCTCCACAGGAGCTGCGTGAGTGGTTTGCCCGGCGCTGGATGCGAGCTGCTGGAGCTGGAGGTGCTGCGGGTACTGGAGGTTCTGTTGCTACTGGGGGAGCTAGTGCCGCGGGTCCCGGAGGTGCTCGTATTGGGAGTACTGGAGCTGCTGGGCCTGCGGGTACTTCTGGAGCTGGAGCTGCTGCGGGTGTTGGCGCGGAGGCTACTGCTGTTAGTCCTGGAGGCGGTCCTGCTGGTGGTACTACTGGTGCTGCTGGAGGTACTGGAGCTGGAGCTGCTACTGGTGCTGGTGCTGCCACAGGGGGTGCTGGTGCTGTCCCTGCTTTGTCTGGAGTCGCCGCGCGGCCTCGGCCGTACTTCGTTCCGCTCCTTCAGCAGGTTCTTGGTCTCCCGTCTTCTACTGGTCCTCCTCCTCCCTTAGAGTGTCCACAGCCTGTCCCGTTGCAGTTACAGTTACAGCCGGCGTCCCCACTGCCTGCTCCGTCTCCCTACACTAGTCGTACTGGAGGTCTTGCTGAGCGTCATGAGCCTGCGTCTCGCCCTGCGTCGCCTGTCCGTACTGCCCGCACTAGTGGTCACAGTTCGCTCAGCGTCCTCCTCCTGTCCCTGGCACGCACCGGATGTCTCGGCGTCCGTCCACTGCTCCTCTGCGTGCCCCTTTGCCTTCTCCTCCTGAGTCTTCTCTTCCTGCTCTTGCCGACCCTGAGTCGGACTCTCTTCGTGCTGCCAGTCCTACTGTCACGCGTCTCCTTGCTACTGTCGTCATTGACCCTTCTTTTGAGTCCACTGCTGCGTCTGCCCTAGCTGCTGAGCTCGTCGACTTTGCTGCTCGCTGTCGTCTAGACTACGCTGCTAGTCTTGTCGCTGAGTCTGAATCTGTCTGTCCTCCGTCCGTCGCGGGTGAGTGTGCCCTTGGCACGGACGTCCTTGAGGACAGGCAGGAGGAGTTCCAGTGTCTGGCTGCTGCTTCACCTCATCTCGTGTCCGTACTCCTTACCCCTGAGGGAGACCCGGATGCACTTGACATCCCGACTCCGCGCTCTTACGCGGAGGCCGTAGAGGGTCCCTACTCCTCTCAGTGGCAGGCAGCTATGGATGCAGAGATGGCTTCCTGGAAGTCCACAGGCACCTACGTTGACGCGGTTCCCCCACCTGGGGCGAACATAGTCAGTGGCATGTGGATCTTCAGGGTGAAGCGGCCGCCAGGTTCTCCACATGTCTTCAAGGCGCGGTACGTGGCTCGTGGCTTCAGTCAGCGGCAGGGAGTTGACTACTTTCAGACCTTCTCTCCCACCCCGAAGATGACCACTCTTCGGGTGCTGCTGCACATTGCCGCTAAGCGCGACTACGAGCTTCACTCTCTTGACTTCAGCACTGCTTTCTTGCAAGGTAGCCTGCACGAGGAGATCTGGCTGCGCCGCCCACCTGGCTTCACTGGGACTTTTCTTCCTAGCACCCAATGGAGCCTTCGGCGGCCAGTCTACGGTCTCCGCCAGGCACCGCGCGAGTGGCACGACACATTGAGGACTACGCTTGCGGCTCTTGGGTTTGCTCCCTCTACTGCCGACCCGTCGCTGTTTCTGCACACCGACACCTCTTTGCCGCCGTTCTACATCCTCGTGTACGTCGACGACTTGATCTTTGCCACTGCTGACACTGCTGGACTCGCCCACGTGAAGTCCGAGCTGCAGAAGAGACACACGTGCACAGACCTGGGTGAACTGCGCAGCTACCTTGGCTTGCAGATCACCCGGGACAGAGCACGCCGCACCATTACCCTGACTCAGTCACACATGGTGCAGCAGGTCCTTCAGCGCTTCGGCTTCACGTACTCCTCGCCTCAGGCCACTCCTCTGCCTACTCGCCACTCGCTCTCAGCTCTGCCTTCGGATGAGTCCGTAGAGTCGAGTGGCCCGTACCCAGAGCTTGTTGGCTGCCTCATGTACCTGATGACCTGCACTCGACCTGACCTTGCATACCCTCTTAGCATTCTTGCACGCTATGTTGCTCCTGGGAGACACTGACCGGAGCAAATGGCTGCAGCGAAGAGGGTGTTGCGCTACTTGTGCAGTACGTCGGGCATGGGGCTAGTGCTTGGAGGGCAGAGTCCAGTGGTCCTTTTTGGACACGCAGACGCTTCTTGGGCTGACGACCAGGCTACACAGCGGTCGTCACAGGGTTACACCTTCAGCCTTGGTTCCGGCTCTGTTTCGTGGAGGGCTACTCGCTCGTCTTCCGTTCTCGGCTCCAGTTGTGAGGCTCAGATCTACGCAGGAGCCATGGCTGCTCAGGAGCTTCGCTGGCTCACCTACCTGCTGACTGACCTCGGAGAGCCACCTCGTTCTCCTCCAGTGCTGTACGTAGACAACAAGGCCATGCTGGCCTTGTGTAGGGAGCAGCGCCTGGAGCACAGAACGAAGCACATTGCTCTCCGCTACTTTCTTGCTCGTGAGCTGCAGCAGCATGGTCAGTTGCGACTTGCGTACGTGGCCTCTGAGGCCAACACTACTGATATCTTCACTAAGGCACTTGCGCCTTGTGATCATCAGCGCTTCTGTACTCAGCTTGGTCTTGTGCCTGCCTTGCCTCACTTGCTCACTTCTTGACCTTGCTTGTACTGTCACATATATATACTCCTGCTCTTGCTCGTTTAGCCTTTTATGTATATCTGTGCTCCCGCATGTGGACTGGCCTTCTGGCCTTGAACTTGTGCTCGGAATGTGTGGTGACTTTGTGATCCACCCTGAGCTTTGCTTTGTTCTGCTTGACTGGTCTTGTGACCCCTTGTTCTCCCCCACTTTGCCTATGGGGGTGTGTCAAATCATGATGTTCTGTAGGCTGTAGTGGGGTAGCCCATATTGGGTGCACATTTCTACGGTTGCATATTTGTACCACATTCCATTCCTTAGTGTCCCATTCTCGTTTCAGTTTACTCAGTCAGCACCGGAATTTGCTTTCCACACTCGGCGATGCTACAACAACAACAACAACCGACAACAACCAAAGCCTGTACCTCCGTTCTGCCATATTTGCAAGACGTCAGGACACCCACGCACACACTACCCGAATCGACAACAGTCAACTCCACCGCAACGGCAGCTTCGACCCTCAAGCAGCCAAGTGGCATCGACGAAGGCGAACCCCACGAGTCAGTCGCAGCCTTCAACAACACAATCTGCACAAGGAGCAAGAAACATCGTCAGCTGTATGGCAAAACTGACCGACTCCTGCATCACCGAGTCACCGCCGCACTACTCACCGGAAGAGCAACTCGACAACATCACACCTCGCCGCGAGTCACTCCAACCGAACCCGACGTACGCAGCCATCGCCCAAAGTGAGCCATCCGGGAAGGACACTTGGTTCTTGGACAGTTGCTGCGGGCAGCACACGTGCTCTTCGGGACGTTTCGTTCAGCGCGAGCACCAACTTCAACGCGAAGTCGTCATTACTGTCGCCAACAATCAGAACCTGCGCACACGACAAGGCGTGGTTCAACTTCAGTCAAAAGAGACAAATGTTATACTGCAGATGTCAAAGGTATTAATTGCAGAGGGACTCGGCTACAACTTACTGAGCGTCAGCCAGCTGATGGCGAAAGGCATCCACTTTGAAGCAGATAGCACCACTCAGGAGTTCAAGTTGTACAACGGAAGAGGAGGTCTCTACATTGGCAAGGCAGTCCTGAAGTACAACGTCTTTGTCCTCGACTTCGTCCCAAACCTTGGCACAGCTGACAGCGACGGGATCGTCACCTTCACCTCCTGGACACATCCACCAGATCTTGACCCCAACTTCAGCCCCGAAGGATTCTGGTACTCGCACACCATTCCTGAAGCAGAAAGAACAAGAGCGTTAGCAACAATACAACATTCGGCAGAAGCAGAAACAACATTCGGCAGCAGCAGAGATAACATCGGCAGCAGCAGAGACAACACCGGCAGCAGCAGAGACAACATCGGCAGCAGCAGAGACAACAACAACAGCAGTGGCAACAACGACACCAATCGCTGGTCCTTCAACGGCACCAATCTTCATTGACGATATATCACCAACACCCGCACAGCAGCTAACTCCGACTCAACGAGAAGTCCAGCGAAGCGCCAACTTCACCGCCGGTCTACTCCAACTCCGACATGTATCGGCGCTCACCCGGACATCGCGCCACCGAAGGAACCTGGCACGCAAGAATGGGTCACCCAAGCAACACGGTGTTAAATAACACGATAAGAGCAGGCATGCTCGATAAGGACTCTCTACTCCTAATTGACGGTAGAGAACTTCAGCGAGCCCGTGGAACATGCTTCACCTGTCCCGAAGCTGACCTACCGCATCAACCGTTCGTGCCTCACCACAACCCAAGCGCACCAGCTTACGCGCCACTCGAGAAGGTGTACAGCGACATCCTGTACAACCACGAGCCTGGACAAAACGCGTACAATTACACCATCGCCTTCATCAACGCAGCCACTCGATACGTCTGGCACCTAAATCTTCCAAGCCGCGACATGGCCTTCGAAGCCTTTGTCGCCTGGCTTCCAGTAGCAGAACAAGAATCCGGAGTAAAACTCAAGAGCTTCCAGTCAGACGGAGGGGGAGAATACACCTCACAGAGGTTCAAGGAGTACTTGGCAGAGAGAGGAAT